ACGTTGATATGTTCAGAGAAAAGTGTTTTGATAGTTAATAGTTGTATATACAGTGTTCTATAATAGCATTAAGTTACATAACGGGAAACGAAAATATCAACGATGACCAGCGAACTGGAAGGGACCCATACGGACAACGGGAACATTAGGGATTCCATCGCGAACTCTGCCATTACAGGAGCCTCCACCCTTTTCAATCTGAGGGCGATTGAAGAACAGGATATGAATACTGAACTTCGAAAAACTGTATATAATTAAAATTGATATTCAGTGTAATTGAACAAACCCTATAAATAGAAAAAAAGGCAAGTTTTAGGCATTATGTCACATCTTTAATCCGAAATTTTACAGTCAAAATGTACTGAAATCATGGTCACAAGAAATTATCACCATGATTCTAACTAAAAAAAAGGTTACGAATACTGAAAAAAAGTGACCAGTCGACTGCAGTGGCGATCGTCCGACCCTTATTGCGAATGACGAAGTTACTGAAAGCTCAATCTGAGTTATTTGATGTCTATTTTAACTTTCAGATTAAAATGTTTTTTAAAGTCTTTTCATTCTTTTAAGTTCAATGCCGTATTTCAAAGCATCTGTAATTAAACTAGTGGTGCTAAAAAGCACATACTTACTCGCACATAGTAATGGTTACGTAATACCATTTATACGACAATTTCTTTCCGAATTAAGACATCTGTAAAACTCATTAGAAATCGTAGAACATGAGGGATGAGAACTAAATATTTTCAAACAATTATCAATGCAAATTCGACAAATAAAACTGCGTTTTGTGCAGCTAAATGTTGTTTCAACAATGAGACGCAATTGACAGTATTGCCTCTGGAGTTAATTCTTTATTCTTTCCTTCTTTTCCCCCTTTTCCCGCACGCCCGTCAACTCATCCACCGCCCGCATCTTCTCTTGCAGCTGCTTGCACCGTCTTGACCGTTGCCTCCACCTCCCGCCCCATATCTACTTGTCGCACGTCCCCGCCACGCTGCACGCCTCAGACCTTTCCATCCCCGCCGCTTCGTCCGCTGTGCACTGTCGCACCGGGGGAAGTGGCTCAGGGCATCAACTGATGTCACTGCCGGGCCTCTGACCCTGAGGTTGTAAGGTTCACTTGTCCTATGCGGCTAGTTTGGGTTCTGTCGCTGTCGGGAAGATAATTCCCGGCTGCCGGCTCGGATCGGTAGTTTTCCGTAATTTTTCCGATCAACACCAGATGAACGCCACAGCAAAACTCTAACCAACGGATCACGGACCGCGTGCGATCTTATTTTTTCCTCCCGTCATATCCTCACCCCTTTCTTACACACACACACACACACACACACACACACACTTATACTTACATGAACTACACTACCACACATTCTAGGAGACCAGTCGGGAGCTTAGAGCTGTTCCCGGTTGGAGCTGGCGGGAGATACCTGGTTGGGGAAAACCCCAACCAGGTAGGTCGGCGCCGAATCTCCCCATCAGACAGGGAACATCACCGCCACCTGCCGAGGAAAAAACATGGACCACACTTACAGGACTAATACCCTTAGCGGTTGTCGCGACGGAGTCACTAATTAATCAATCAGTGCACTGTCTCTATCAACGCCACCGCCGCCGTCGCTGCTGCGCCAGTCCCCACCTCCGCCCACTTCGCCTTTTGCCCTCATCGTACATGCCGCCCCCTCCCTTGCTCTCATCACCGTCACCATTTGCCTTCGCCCCGTCCCTTCCGTTGTTTCCACCCGTCCTCCTGCTCACCTCGCCCCCGCTGCCCCCTTTTGCCGCTACCACCGACGACAACTACACCTCTGCTTCCACCGCCCTCTTCTACTCCCCCCTCTCTCTCTTTCTCTCTGTCTGTCTCTCTTCGCGGATCCAAGAGCGAAGGAAATAAGATAACAATGTCATCTCGGCAAGTTTCTGCGGTTTATTGGCTGGCTTATCTCCGGCGCGGCGGCAGCGGCGGCGGCGTGAGCGGAGCGGTGCGGGGTGGGGGCGGGGCGGGGCGCACCTCCCCGATCGGCGAACAGAGACGCATCGGCCCCTAACGACGCAATTAACAACCGCCCAGGGATTGTGCGCCGCTTCGCTATCGGCTCCGCCCATCTGTCGCCCCCCGTCCCCGCCCCGCCCGCGCTCCGACGCGACTCTCTCTCTGCCCGACGCGTCGCGGCGTCGCAGCGCAGCGCCCGCCCGCCCGCACGTGCGAAAGCGCCGCGCCACAACCAGAGTGACGGGTCGTTGCGGCCACGGAAAGCTGCGCGGCGGGACACTGACTGGGAGAGGTGGCTCAGGGCAACAACTGACCTCCGTCGTGAGGTGTGCCCCAACCAGATATCTCCCGCCAGCTCCAACCGGGAACAGCTCTAAACTCTCGACTGGTCTCCTAGCATGGGTGGTAGTGTAGTGCATGTAAGTAAAAGTGCCTCTCACAGGGAGGTCCACTCCTGACGGTAGCAGGGTTTTCGACACTAGCTAGGTCGAATTCCGACACTGCCTGAAGGTAAATTTTAGCGGCCGGTTGCTCCAATGGGTAATCCGAGGTTTTTCTGATCAACACCAGGTGAATGCCGAAGCAGAAGTCGAACATGCGGACCACGGACCGCGCACGATCTTTCCTTCCTCTTCTTTGTCCTATTATCACCCCTTACATAATCACACTTACACTTGCATGCACTACACTTCCACACATGTCGGGAGACCGTCCTGGAACAAACAGCTTGTCCTCTGAAGGGGCTGTGCAACCAGGTGGGAGATACTTGGTTGGAGACAACCCCGCTAGCCGACGGTAGGTTGGCGCCGGATCTCCCCATCCTGCGGCGGAAGATCACCGCCACCCCCCCCCCTAGAGAAAAAAGTGCACAAAACTCATGGAAATAATGACAGCAGTGGACGGGCGCGGAATCACTAAGTAATCAATCAATTGGGACTCTGCGTTTGGGGTAGGATTTCGTAGGACGGTAGGATACCGTAATAAATATTGATGGGCTAATGCACTATGGCGTCATAGGCCGCCGGGTTAGTGGAATCACGCTTTACGTTTTGAAGTTTTTGAAAACGGAGCTTCTGGTAGAATTTAACATGGTAGAGTATGACACCGCGCCCAGGCAACCGTACGTATATGATGTCGGTTATAGACAACCACATGTAGAGCATTGTATAAGCAATCGTTATTCCGTTCACGTTAATATTGACAATTGACACATAAAATACCATGTGATTTAATAAGTATTTTTAACTCGTAAACTAATTGTACCTCTGCGAACATTCCATACCTTTTAAATTATCTTAAATTTAATGTGAATCGCTTCGTGAATGTATACCGTTTCTAACAACGCCCGTTACAAAGTTTAGGAACGCCTCAAAAATGTGATAAAATATTCAAATATGTCTCAATATGTAGATTACCGCCTAGGAAACCTAAATGAGTTCCAATTTGGTTTCGAAATGTCTTGGTTTTAACGGCACAGAACGCATCATTTTCTAGATTTGGTCCATGTTAGTGTTACAACGTAAGGCGAACTGCGGGTTCTTCTTGTTTTCCTTGTGTGTATCTTGCAAAAGGTAAGGTAGAAGATTTTATTTTTTTATTTAGTTTATTTGGTTGTTTGTAAGTAAACTCAGTAGTAGTTTTCGACCTCGAATTACTTCAGGAAATGTTTCAGTCGAAAAAAGATCGAGCATTTGTTGTAATACCTTTTAGTTTTTGATCTTAGTTCATAAATAGTTATGTTTAAGTAATAAAATTCTTTTCAAGCTTGCTTCGTAGATTATTTTTCTCGAGCAAATACAGTAGAACATACACAAGAAGTAAACAAATACAGAATCGCTAAACCGAACGCCGCAAATTCGAAATTTCGGATAGTCCGAACAGAATTCGGGATGAAGGAAAAATAAACAAAATAAATAAAAAGCTTTTTTGTAGTGTAAAGAAAGTATTTTATAAGTACTGTAGAACTGAACCACTAACTTCTGAAGTTGTTGAAATGAAACGTTTATTGCACCTGTAGCTACGGTGTATATCACATGTTTATGTAGTAGTAATTTTCATTTAGAGGAACTTGAAAAATCAGTAATCATCTTTTGCCGTAAGGAATTGAATCTGCTTGATGATATGTGATGTGATGATGCGATCGCTACGCTACGTTGCCATTTTCTCACTCCTCACGCTACTTTACATTGTGTGGTAATCCTATAGATGTATTTGTATATGTACGGTACATTTTTTCGGATAATCCGAACATTTCCGAATTTGAATACACCACACACCGAATTAGTTCGAATTACCGGGGTTTTACTGTATTAAGAGAGCTACGAGGTTTAAAAAAATCACTAAATTTTCGTTTTTATTCTGAAGTTTCTCCAACTTACTAATGGTCTCTCTAAAGTAGTATTTTGCTGTATTTAGTGAAATTGCCTTTTCAGAAATGCCCAGGTGGCATTTTCTGAAAAACAGCTCCTAGTTTTTCAACACATATTTGCTATCAGGTTTTACTTTTCTAAAAATATTCTTATAGTCATATTTCCATTCTATCATTAGGCGTTTGAAATATTGGGAAAATGTTGAAAAGTGTAGTATTTTTGGCGCCAATAGATGGCAGCTGGGAAGAGGGGGGTGAGGGTAGCAAACCAAAAAAATTAGCTCAAACATGATTTTAGAAAATTAACAAGTATGAGGAAGTTTGTGACTTTCTGTAGCACCACAAGTGGAAGTATGTTTTCATTCTTCAAAGGGAGGTAAAACTGATATTCGCAGTGCCATCATTCATCTGCCTTTAAGCATACTGAAGAGACCAATCTGATTAATACATTGTTTATGAAAATAGTAAATAATGATATACAAATAAAATGACTGAATACAACCCTACCTCTTGCAGGGACACCAGAATATTTAACAAACACTAGTGTTGAAATTTCTTTGCATTTTACTGTATGAAGATTATTGTGAGAATTTCTTTCATAATAGTGCATTAATTTTGTTAATTGCTTTGTTATAGGAAATGCTGTATATAAAAGATAAAAATGTCAAAGGACCTATTCGGATCACTCAGAACCTTCTACTAGCTGCTCTAAAAGACACACGACCATCATTGAATGAGAAAGAGCAACAAAAATACAAAAGAATGTAAGTAATAAATTGGGTATTGTATTTTGAATGTAATTATGTAGTATTTACACATGAATATTATGAACTAGATTTGAATGTAAAGAAAAAAATAAACAAATATGTTGTATTATTAATTACTTAATTTTGGAATTATTGAAAGTAATTTAGCAAGCTATTAACTGAAACATTGTCAATAAAAAAACGAATTGAAACAAAATGATTTGTGGTAAAAATGTACGTTTATGCTTAAGAAACTAATAGGAATACTGATTAAGTTGAAAAATGTATTGTTTATCATTTCACTAAAATTCCTCTTTGAATAAATGATGCTAGTTTTTTAATACCAGTTACATTACGTTGTCTAATTTGTTATTGATGCCTATTAATTAATTTTATAGTTTGTTGTGTTGTGTACATTTTGATACATTTCACTGTCTGTTCATGAATAAACATGATTATCATTTATCTTAAATTTAACAATCCTTATGGATGCTTGTTATTTGAGACATTACTACTTCAAAGTTTTAATTGAACTTGCAATATATTCATTCAGATCTTGTAACTAAGTTTTAAAGTTTCTAAGGTAGGCTTATGAATATAATGTTTATAACATAGATGACAATTCATTATAATGTATATGTAGGGTTTCATCCATACACATGAAGATGTAACACATGTTTATGAGGGGGTGGGGGAATTAAAAAAGTTACAGAATTTCTGACAAAAATTTATGGTGATTCAGGAAACCTTAAAGGAGTGTATAATTTCAAAGATAATACTAGATTATGTTGATCTTGCAGGTGCTATCCATGATGGTGATCCAAATGAAGTAAAACAGAATTTTATAAACATTTTCAAATTCTTGTATTGACAATTGCCAATTTTGGCAACCTTGGAGGGGAAAAAATCTGATTTTGAGGACATACTGCATACCCTATCTCCTGTGGAAATAAAAATAATTTTTCTTTAAGTATTTTAAAAATTTGTATTGTAATTAATGATCTTTTGTTGTAGATATGAACATTTTGAAAAGTCTCGGTCCAGTTCTTCAAAAGGAAAGAAGTCCATTTCTACCACCACTCCTCCTCCTCCTCCATTGCAGCAGAAAGTGACCTTGGCCTAATAATTTAATAAAACGTAGGTTTGTGTAGAAGGTAGAGGTGAGAGGTGGTGTATGGTGTGGGTAGTTATCTGGTTGTGGGAAAAGAGACTTGTAAGAAACATTACTGTAATTTTGAATTTCATTCAATAAACCTTTTCCATTTTGTACATAACCACAAAAGCAGCTGCCACTAGCAAAATCTCTTGTCTAGTCAATATACTACTTAATATTGTACAGTGAGAAATATGCCAAAGTGTAATAGATAATGGTGTTATTTCCCATTATATATTTTGTAGTAATAAAATTTAAACTGCATTGTCATGAGGTTGAGTTCTAATGAAGACATATTACAAAGTGGTTTTGTCATTATATAATCAGAAGTTCCTTTTCTTGAATTCATGTACTTAAGTATGTAAGTATGGAGGAATCATTGGATTTGCTATCTTCGGAATATTTTTCTTTGCCTTTTACTCCTTTATTTCATTTCTTACATTTTTATTATGAAATTATTAATGGTGCTACCAAATGATCTTCTCTACTGCCATGGGAACTCATTTGATAAAGGCATTCTCTGAAAATATTTGAATGTTTTGAATGAGGAAAAAGCAATAGCAATGATAATTCTTGTCAGTGAAATAGATGGTACTAGTTTGTTCTTTGAGACTTGGTAGGCAGAGAAGATTGATCTTGCATGACATTCTTTGGAAAAGAATAGTCTGTAATATAGTAGTAGTAGTTCTGCAATATAATATTTCTGTCAGTGCACTAACAAAAATATTTTTTGTGAACTGGAATTTGGCTAATCTTCAAACGGAATGTTTCTGTTACCAAGATTAAGCGTGTCAGTAGTTACTGGACTCTAAAATTTAAGAGATTTCTGTGTGATGGTGTTGTATAAATTAGCTATGATGATATTCCATATTTCTAATTTTCTTGATGAGTTTTGAAACTTAATATTGGGGAACATTAAGATTTCTAAAGAAATTAGTCTCTTAGAATGCCAATTTAAAGTAATCAAATAATTTCAACTCTGGCAAAATCTGTATTTCAGTATTAAAGCATTAAAAGAAATAAAATAATAATTTGCTCACTTTGAGAGGTTGTGTGTGTCTGGGTTCATTAAACGTAAAGCTCACCTGAAAGAAAATTAGATAAATGAGAACAAAACTGTTTGTTCTACTATTAGTTTGTAGTTGATTTAGTTGTTTTCAATTTAAATGTTAAAATTTGTATGCAGAGGAGAATAATTTGCTCAACTGAATATGTTTAATGAAATGGTGGATTTATTTTATTTGGATTTAGATGTGTTTTAAAACATTTCAATTTTTGAGTTGTAGTTGGTTGATGAAATTTTTGTTTTAATTGCCCGTTGTCTTTGACTTCATATATGCTAAATGTTTTCTCTATTTGAAATTTTCAATGATTTGTTAATGTTAAAAATTGTTGAACTTCCTTTTTAAGTTTTAGAATGTTTGTTAATTTTAACTTTGTTTGATAAGCAGATAAGCACTATTTATTATTATTAGAAAAGTATTTTTTTAATGTATGAACATTCCTTATCTTTTTCACTTTTTTTCTTACCTGTGTGAATTGAGAGACGAATGGAATTTTATTGCATTCCCCCCTTCCATGTATATTGTGATAAAACTATTATAAAAATTCAATTGGAGACACAAAATTTTAATGGTATTTATTCTCAATGAGATATCTTGATAACAATACAAGTATAAATTAATAGAAATGTTTTACAATATTCTTTTTTATTTTTCAGGACGTATTAAATAAATTAAAAGTTTTGGTAATTTTAGGCATAAATGCCTGGAAATATCCCAGTAACTTACTTTTATATAATATGGTAAATCTTAGTCTTGATATTAAAACGTGTATTTCTGTTTTATTCTCTAATAATGTTCATTATATTACTTTATTTCTTGAATGTTATTGTCTTGAAGTTCTTCATAAAATAACTTTTAAAGTAAATAAAGTGATGTTTAATCTATTTTTTAAAAATAAATTCTAACATCAAGATATATTTCATATTGTTTTTTGAAATATACAAAATTTTGTGAAGAACAGTAAAATTTTTAATATAATAGAATAAAAATAACAATTGTTTTAATGATGTTTATTTACGTAAACTCTTAAGTTACATTAATTTTTGGGCAAAACTTCAAAAAGTTTTTTGATGCGCTGTTGATGTTGTATTGACATGTGAATACAATTAGAAAAAGAAAGTGTCATTTTTACTGACAATTAAATTGAAATCATTGGGAGATTTAGATGAATCTTCAGACCCACCATCTGGAAATCAGAATTTGATCTGTTGAATTGTGACATTACTTTCCCATAATTTCAATATGTTTTCCTGTCCTCTGTGTCCATTATTAGCTGCTTTGTGTACAGCCTGATTGATATCTATTGTTTTGTACATAGACCTTTGCACATCAGGAGATTCAACTACTGTATGATATATGACAATTATGAAGATAATGGCTAATCAATCTCGTATAACTCTAGAAACCTAGCAATTCTGTCCTGCGGACTACAATGGGGTGCAAGGGAAATAACTATTCCAAAAATGTTGTCTTCATTTATTGACATTTGATTTGTAAGTATCTGAAAAGTAACAGTGTCAGAATATATTTTGAGTGTAGTTACTAATTGTTGTATTGTTTATTTGTTGACTTATTATTTTCACAATAGATAAGTATGGTCATTACATTTATTTAAAATTCAATGATCAAGCAATCAATATGGTTTTGTATACAGTTATACTGCAATAGTTGTAATATTACTGCTGCATTGAAAATGAACAGTTATTTGAATGCCATCCAATCGAAGACATTTAAGCATTAACTCTGAAACTATGGTGTTAAAAGTATTAGTCTTCAGGTACCTGAAATTTTAAGGAACACTAAAAGTCCTGTGATATCAATAAAGTAAATCAATAAATAAAGACACAAAGAGATACTGAAAGCACTAAACATTTAAATAACAGCGTTGTTGTGTTTAATAAAAATCTTACTCAAGATGACACCTTTTATTTCTACTCATTTAAAAACTATTCTAATAGATACATATATACAAAGCAAGAAGCAACAGGAAATGTCTTAATCACTTCAGAGATCAAGTGCTGAGAAACGTTGAAATTGAAAAGAGGAAAAGCTAATAAAAGCTGGGATTCATGATGCATTGTAGAAAAAGTATGCAATATATTCATCTTTCATCTATGATTTGCCTCAAATTGCTTTGTATTATTGTTTATTGACACGTCTTCCGTAATCTAAAAAAAAACATAATATGATTCAAAAAAATAATTATTGTAGGCTGTTATTTGTTTTCTGTGGTGAATAGTATTACAGTGCCTGTCAGAATTCATATTTTCTGCCAAGAACATGATCTCCATGGAATTTTGTAATTTTATACATTCTAAATGAAAGACCTCAAGTATGTATATGGAAAATAAAGGTTCTTATTACACATGATATTCTTGTATGTTTGTGATTTCTTAATTCCAAATCAATTGTATAAATATATCCTAACAGTTCAGGAATATAAATTTATAACATGATGGTGAGAAGTAAAATTTGTTTCTTTTGACATAATTGAGTTGACTAATTGAAGTGTTTTGGTGTGAACAACAGGGTCTGACATTTCACAGTTTGTAGAAAAACGTAATATGAAACCATTGTTAAATAAAGAAGTTTCCTATGTCGTAATGTAAAGGCAAGGTATCATTGCCATTTCTTATCTGTTCTTCAATGAACACAGAGAGAACTACTCCCATTTCTTTAAAAAATAAATAAATAAACTTCATTCCATCTAATTATCATTTAACATTTCTTACACCTTAATGCTACAATTTATTAATATTTTAATAAGTCAGTAGTTTTGATGGATTTTGTAGTTGAATCAATTTACTATGTATCAATTTAATATGTATGCCTACACTTCCAAATTTATTTTTTGTCTGAGATTTATAAATTTTTAATTAGGAATATCAACAGTCAAATCTTGCATATTTGAGGATATGTGATTCAAACGATATCTTATGGAGTTTGTCCAAATCTGAAAAATTATCTAATGTAAAGAATTCAAAATGCCAAATTTTCAGAATCACTCAATCAATTTATTTTAATGAAAAGCTCCAATTTTATTCTTGAGACGTTCATATCAAAATGTTTTGCCCCTCTATGATATTCTATTCTGAAAGTCATTTCAATAAAAGTATTGGTGGTCCAAAAAAGTAAGGAAATGTGAAAACTATGTATTTTTTAAAAATAAAATATGCATTAAAATGTTATGGGAAAGACAATAAATCATATGGTTTTCAATGCATAAATATCTAAATATTGTATTTTACAAAATTAAGGTAAGTAAGGCTGAATTTGTTTACTATTGAGTTAATTTTGTTTACTATAAAGTTTATAAAGCTGAGAAGCTCCTGAGCATGGTTGCTATGGCAATGGATGTTATTGAATGTCATGCAGATAAATAGATTCATTGCTATGCACATTCTTAACCATGTATGCAATGAAAGTGTGAATTTAATTTTAAAGGAGTACTTTTAACTTTCAAGAAAATAGACTGCTTTGTTTTAAGGAGATTCTTAACTGATTTGTGCAGGTTGGCTGAATTATTAGGATTATATGATTTGAAATATAATTTTCAACATTTTATATAACTACAAATAATACGACAAAACGTGTTAGGAGGTAGAACCACTTTAAGATCAGTGCAAGGGACGAGGAAATACCTGGAAGTGAAGCAGTGGTTCACACCTAAAGGAACTAGTGGTGCTGCGGAATGGCACAGACCTTCCTGAATTAGTTTTTTATTTCTTTGGTCTTGGTTAGCTATATGAACGTGCCACATACTCTTGCCAGCTACCATCTATCATATATCTGCCTAAGGTACATTTTTAAAAAAATTTCTTAATTTTTGGTTTCCTTATAATAGAATGGAAATATTATTTTATAAACATTAAAGAACACTAAAACTTTGTCCTAAATTGCAATTTCCTTAGAAAAGTGTTCTGCTGTTTTTAAGAAAACGGTGCTTAAGCGTTTCTGCAAAATGCGAAATTTGAAGCTCTTTTTCACAGAAAGTTTTTGAGTTTTCAAAAAACTTAATTTGAAGCACTTTAACTCACAAATACAATAGTGTTTACAAATTGCTGGAAATGTGCATATTGAAATGAACTTTGTTGTTTTAAAAGAGTGCCCGTGGCACTACCCTTTTGAATAGTTTGAAAAAAATATGGAGCTGTATTTGAGAAAATGGTTGTTTGAGTGTTTCTGAAAATGCAGAAGTTTGAGCTAGTTTCCACAGTAAACAGTTGAGTTTTTGACATTATTAATCTGACAGTATTTAAAGCATATGTTCTCTTAAATACAATAATGTGAACAATTTGCTGCCAATATAAACATTAACAACCTGAGACACAAGAAAAAAAAATACATCTTTGTAATTTTTGAGAAAACAAAAGATTAGAGCAATATGATGTTTCTGTCATCTTATAGAGTACATTTAACACTATTCCTACCAAAAGTCCTGTACCAAAAGTTTAAAGGAAAAATTAGAGCTTTCTGAGGAAATCTAGTTTTTGTATTTTTTTAACATTGCACATATAGCATGCAATATTGGCCAAAAATTATTAAAATTTAAAAAAAAAATGTACATGATCTTAACGAAAGAACTCTCTGTGGAGAACAAATTTTGTTTGATGGAAAAATCTCTATCTTTAATTTTTTAGTTGTACGAAGACGTCCGAAACATTTTGAAATTTTTTACAAGAAATTTAAAGAAAAAATTGAAGCTACATTTGAGAAAATTTTGAAAATGTCCCGAGAGCTTCATGTAAAGTACCTCCGTAGTTGCACATTGTACATTATTAATTTATTTAACAGTGCTTATACGCATGCACGTATATACGGAGTAATATTCTTAAATAGAGAATTATCGTATGAAAGAATTGAAATTTCACGGAAATATATGATTTGAGGTCCACTGACACTCAAGAAATGTTTTTTTCCAAAACGTTTCAATGTCTATCCATCTGTGAACAATTGTGCCTTAAAGGATAGGATTTTTGCCAAAATGAATATTCCCCAATTAATCGAGCCCGACTCATAATCCTACGAATTTGAATAGAATTCTGTGAATTTGGGGAACTTAACATACATGCCTCTTAAAGTATTAATTTTTTCACTGTAATAAAGCGAGTTAAATAATAATAATAATAATAATAATAATAATAATAATAATAATAATAATAATAATAATAATATAATTATAAAATCCAACGTATTCAACACATTTTTCGTATGAAATGTATTCGTAGATTCCGTAATCATTTTTCCCTTTTTTATTGAGCACCAGGGATCGTTAGTGTGTACCAGGGCGGATCTAACCGATCATTTGAGAGGGGTCATCGTAATCATTTTTATTAAATGATAAACATTTGTTATTTACATTGTATATTATTTTTGTAGTGTTTATATGACTATGTACAATATTATTTTTAAAACAATTATTTAATTCGAACATAAATATTTAAATCAATTTTCCAAATACAAGAGGGTAACAAACGAAAACTCTAAGCCTTTTGCGGGAGAGGAGCATGGCCCTCGAGTCCCCTCCCTCTGGATCCGCCATTGGTGTGTGTTCCATATTGAAGTCCTACAGATAAACAGAGTAGCGCATTCTATCGTTCCACCGATCTCGCCATTTTATATATAAAGTTTTCAGTAGAACTGATACTGTGTTATTGTGTGTTTAGATGTATGAATCTATACGAAACCAATATTAATACTCTGAAAATCTCCATAATGTCACTACTTGCTATTATTTTCCTTCAGCTCCTGTTCGCTCTTGGCGGGGCTGTCGGATGAAAGGATATTAAATAGGGACGGTTACGCTACTCTGTGTCTATTGACTCTGTTCTAGGATTTACTGCGCGCCGTATCTGCACATTTTTTATCTAGCCCATTAAACTTTTTTGCTGGCTAGTTACCTGCCTAGTCCAAGAAACATCAACTTTGTGGGCGATTAACAGAAATGGGTGAGAAGTGAATGTACTAAACACATGCTAAAATACTTGTTCTTTTTTGTTTGT